CTAATCTTATATAAGTGATTATTTGATTCATAAACCAAAAAAAATTGTTCGCCTAGCCTTTTTAACAGGTAACCTTCAAGTTAAAGGTTATAAGTTGGTGATGTGGCAATGACTTGGCTGCGACGTGTCATGTTTTGTAGATGTGGCATCCATTAACTATTTACTGTAATAACAACTTCGAAATCAACTCTAATTTCTGCGTATTTCAAATCAAATCCCTATCAAAGTTTGAAGAAACCTAAATCCCAAATCCCTATCGCGACTTGAAGAATTTCATTCCCAAATCCATAATCTCAAACCCATCCCTAATCTCTAGCTTAAGCCCTAAGCCCTAATCTGTAATTGTAGTTCGAAACCCTAAATCCCTAAACCGAAAAGACTGGAAAGAAGACTGGAAAGAAGGCTCAAACCTCAAACCGAGTAAGGTATGTAGAATAATATCTGAGTATCCTTGCGAATATATGCTTTTAATATGTAATTTTGTATCGATTGTGATGTAGTGGGGTCATGCTATATTGTCTATAAATTGAATATATGTTTAGCTTTTCGTAGTGGGGATTGAATATGTTTAAATCCTATATATGTTTAAATTGAATATACTGTCTTTAAATGTAGTGGGGACCTACTGCTTTAGCTTTTGTTTAATTTTGTATTGATTGTGATGCAGTGGGGTCCTGGGTTTAAGTTGTTTTTGTCTGTATATACTGTGGTCCTGCTCCAGTTAGGCTGTTTTTTTGGTCTTGCTGCTCTACTTTGTTAAGTGTAGAAATGTGCTTTATATATACTATATGATGTTGCTGCTCTAGTTTGCTGCTCTGTATAAACTGCATGATGTTGCTTTAATGTTAAAATGTGCATTGTATTTTTTTGTGTCAGGATGACTAATAGGGTGGATTTAATAATTCATCATGGTGGTAATTTTGTCAAATCCCCTGCGTTAAAATATTTGAATGGTGAAACAGAGGTACTGGATGTGGACCCTGACTTAATATGTTATCCCCACTTAATGAAATATATATCAGCCCAAAGATATGGGAAAATAGTTTCACTTACCTATAAGTTGACCTCTGAACCCTTTACAGCTTTAAAACTCTTACATAATGATGCTAGTAGTCTACATTTAGCTAAGATTGCTCGTGAAAATCAAAAGTGTGAGATATATGTTGAGCATGGGGTAGATGAGCCTGAGGTGGTTGGTTTATGTTTGCCTGGGCCTAAGGATGATGGGAATGAAGCTGGATTAGTGGGTGAGGAAGAGGTGGCAGAAGCTGATATATTGGGTGAGAGATTAGGGGTAGAAGATGAAGTATTGGGTGAGGAAGGGGGGACAGAAACTTCAGAAGATGAGCATGGTGGCAGTGAGGGTGAGGAAGAAGGGAGTGAAGTAGATGCTGATTATAGTGGCAGTGAGCATATAAGTAGTGACAGTGAAGGTGAGGAGACTACAAATAGGACTAAGAGGAAAAGGAAAATAGGAGTACAAGCTGAACCTATACCACAATCTGTGCCCACATCTGAAAATCCTTTAGTAGATGAGGCAGATTCTGTGTACTATGATTCACAAAATCCACCAACTGTTGAAGAAGACTTGGAGAATGAGGATGGGAATGAGGTTCAATCAAGGTACAATGATAAGTACCCTAAATATAACTCTAAATCTGATCCACCCTTTCTTGAATTAGGCATGTATTTTGATGATAATGTGCAGTTCAAACTTGCCATGATAAGTTATGCTATACACACCAAGAGGGATTTATTTTGGAAGAAGAATGGTTTAAAGTATGTTAGAGTGGAATGTCTTGGAAAGGGGTGTGGATTTCATGTGAGTGCAGGGTGGGAGGAAAGAACAAAGTGTTTTCAATTGAAAGCTATTCATTTAGATCATAAATGCAACAGTCAATTCACCTTAGGCATTGTTAGTAAAAAATGGTTAGAATGGAAATATGAAGACAAGGTTAGGCAGAATCCAACTATTGGGTATTCTGAGTTGAGCAAAGATATAAAGTCTGAGTTGAACCTCAATGTCACTGTTAGTATGTGCAGAAGGGCAATTACTGGGATTCTGAAGAAGCTTGACATAGGGTATGAGAGCCAGTTCAAAAGGATTAGGGATTATGCACAAGAATGCTTGAATTCTAACCCAGGCTCTACTGTGAAGATTCACACAACTAGCACTGTTCCTAATTCACCCTTGGTATTTCAGAGGATATATGTGTGTTTTAATGCAATGAAGAAGGGTTTTCTAGGGGGTTGTAGGAAGTTTATTGGTCTAGATGGCTGCTTTCTGAAAGGTAAATTGAAAGGTGAGATCCTCTCAGCTGTGGGCAGAGATGGGAACAATCAAATGTACCCAATTGCCTGGGCTGTGGTAGAGATTGAGAATAACTCGTCATGGAGCTGGTTTTTGAATCTTTTGAAGACTGACTTGGAGATTGAGGACAGCACTCAATGGACTTTAATGAGTGATCAACAGAAGGTAAATCTGTTTCTACATTCAATATGTTTCTGTTTCTGTTTTCTATAATCTGTTTGTGTTTCTGTTTACTATAATCTGTTTCTTGTTTCTACAGGGGTTATCTACTGTAATTCAGGAACTATTCCCTGGTGTTGAGCACAGAAATTGTGCTAGGCATGTCCATGCCAATTGGAGTAAGACTCACAGAGGGATGGTTCTAAAGGGACTGTTTTGGCAGATTGCAAAGACCCCTAATCAAGCACTACTTACAGATAAGGTAAAAGCTTTACAGAAGGTAGATGCTGCAGCTCTTCATGATCTCAATAAGTATCCTATGAAATTTTGGTGCAAAGCTTTTTTCAAAGAGGAAGTGCGATGTGACATGACAGACAATAATTTGAGTGAAGCATTCAATAAGACATTGTTGGATGCAAGGAGTAAGAATATCATTCCAATGCTAGAGGACATAAGAGTTGCAATGATGAAGAGGGTTGCAAAGAAGAAAGCACTTGGTGAAAGATGGAATGGGAATTATGGCACTATTATTATGAAGAAGTTGAATGAAAACATTATTGGGAGTAAAGATTGGGAGGTGGTTTTCAATGGAGTTGATGGATATGAGGTGAAAAAGGGAAGGTTTCAATTCAAGGTCAATTTAGATTTGAGGACTTGTTCTTGTAGAATGTGGCAATTAACTGGTTTGCCATGTCCTCATTCCATTTGTGCAATATTTCACAAGGGGGATCAGCCAGATCAGTACATACATATATGTTACAGTAAAGAGATGTACATGAAGACCTATGAGCATGTACTACAGCCCATAAATGGAGAACAATTTTGGCCAAGGGCTGAAGGTGGTGAGTTACATGCTCCAGTTCCAAGGAAGATGACCGGCAGACCCAAGAAAAAAAGAAAGCTTGAACATGATGAAAAGAACAAGGATAAAAACAAAATAAGTGAAGAGGTTAGAAAGTTGTCAAGGAAGGGAAGGGTAATGACCTGTCAGCTATGCAAGGGGAAGGGGCACAACAAAAGATATTGTCCTACCCAACAAGGACAAGCTGGTGATTGACTGTTTTGGCAGTGACTTTTGGCAACATAAACCTGAATGACTGTTATGACTGTTTTGGCTTATGTATTCTATGTAAATCTGACTTATTCACTTGTGTAATGTACAATGTAGTATGACTTATGTACATATGGCTTATTGCCTTAATGCTTAATGATTTTTGGCACTTGTTTGGCAGTAACTTTTGGCAACATAATGCTTATTCACTTGTTTATGGCTTACTGATGTTTTGTATTGGTTTACTGTATTAGCCAGAAAACTGAATTTTGTATTGGTTTACTGTATTTTTTTTTAAACATCAATCTCATCTGCATCAACCTGCAAGAAATGGCTTCATCTCTAAAGTTGTAGATCCACCAAACAAATATCTGCACAGCAGGTCAGCTCAATAGAGCCTCATCCCTGCTGCCAGTACCACAACAAGCTGTAGACCCTCAGAGATTGTCCAGCAAACAATCCATCATTGGGTATTCATTCATTTCTCAATTGGGCAGAACAAGTCTCAGCTAAATCGACTTCATGGACTAGTTCCCCCGAACTTATTTCATACTGGCAATAGGAACTCCTTTTATCACCCTCAGCATACTGGCCATATGCATCATGGGGTGATATAAGGTGTCTCTTAGCTTTAACCACCCTCAAGGTGCTTGCAGAGGACTAAGCAGACTGGGGTGATATAAGGTGTCTCTTAGCTTTAACCACCCTCAAGGTGCTTGCAGAGGACTAAGCAGACAATTTGAATTAGTCTGCAATAATCAATTATTGCAGACAGACTAGACTAAGTAGACTGCCAGGCAGATTGTGTATTGCTTAGAAGCTTACAGATTGTGTATTGCTTAGAAGCTTAAAACTAGCAAGAAGCTACTAAATGGATATATAACACCTTCACTGAGGCTCGAACTCATAACTTTCCAAATGGAAGTCCAACTCGAGTACCATTAGACTACATAATCTTGATGGTATTTCATATCCACTTAGTAGCTTAAAATCATCACATTATTCTGCAAAATTGGGCAGAACTGGTCTCAGCAACAGCTTCCTAGACCAGTACTCCCATGATTGCTTTTAGAGCTTAAGACAGCTTCATCAGCTTGGTTACATGTATTGGTTTACTGTATTGGTTCCCCAATTTAGGTGGTTTGAGTTGCTTTAAGATTACAATTGGTTTACATGTTATGCACTACTGATTGTGGTCTGGAAATCAACAAGTTTGCCCAAGAATAGAATGGACTGGAATTCAGCAATTATGGCAACTATTCAAAATTGCAGAAATTTAAAATGGATTGGAAAATATGACAACAATTCAATGCAAGCTGGACTGGAATTCTGCAATTATGGCAGAAATAAAAAATTGCTTCATTGAACAATTATGGCAACAATGACAGTGCAGACTGGAATTCAATGCAAGCTGGAAATTGAAAGTGCAAACTGGATATTAAATTGCAAACTATCAATTTTTCATTACAATGCCAAACCATTACAATTTCTAACTACAAAGTTTTGCTAGAAGCACCACAATTACAATTAGGAGAACAACACACTTGATCCTCAACACTTCCTTTTCTTTTTTCATACCACAATACTCATTTACAATTAATTCTTTAACAACTTCGATTTCATTCCTCAAAGATACCACCATCTTCTTTAGATCTTCATGCTCACCTTCAATCCTCCTTGCACTATGATCATTCCAAAGGAAGAAGCCACAACCATTGCCATCCTATACATACAACTCAATTAACAAAATTACCCATAAAAAAAGTAAAAAATTACCACAATAAAAAAACCAATTAAAATGCCCCAAAAACGAACCCTAGCTTTAACTTTAATACAATTGAAAAATCAAAATTCATACAAAATTTCAATAAATACATACCTTCCATCTTTGACACCCAAAGAATTTCTTTCCCGATTCTCTACTTGTGCACATTGGAGCTTTCAATCCACAATTACAATAAACACTAGGCTCATACTCCATGTTTACTTTAACCCGTGATGAAGTTGAGGAAGATGACATCTTGGAGAGTGTGGCTTCGACGGAGGGAATGGAAACTGAAACTGAAATTGGGTCGTCGCCGACGGAGGAAACGGAAAACCCAGGCAGTCGTCTTCGTCTTCGTCTACAATACGTTTTTGAGATATGCAGAAAATGAATATTTTTTAAATAACCCAAATTCGTAAGAAACTGTTACATTTTAACGTCAAATAAGAGAATTTCGTACCTTTTATTTCCACGTCAGATTTTAACCGGAGCCACGTCATCTAAGCAACAGGGAAACCTGTTAAAAAGGCTAGGCGAACAATTTTTTTTGGTTTATGAATCAAATAATCACTTATATAAGATTAGGGTGCGGGATGACATTTCGTTGTTGGTTCAGGGTGCTATTTGACACTTCACCCAAGGTCAAAAAGATAAGATTCTGTACTTTTCAAATCTGAATTCTATAGCATAATCTCGGATAACATACAACACAAATGCTTGATAACTGATACGTTCACCTAAGATTACAGGTATACTCTTTGTGATTGCCGGCCAGCTACTACATCTCATATCAAACTCGCCGGAGTTCCGGCCAAACCACAGAACAGATTGCCTTAATTCCTTCAGGTCTGACACTAGTAGTTTACACAGATCTTTGAAGCGAAATGACGACTCCATAAGAACTTCACACTAGTTGTTGACTGGAACAAAGCATGCATATATACACAAATTCCCGACTCCTCAGGAGCTTTCAGTCTTATCACCAACTGCAAAGCGGTGCTGGTCCATGCTGCGGCCTGATGAATGAACAAGTTTTCGCCTCTTCACAAGAGCTAATGCAGTCTTGCGATCACTGTGTGCCTCAACTGAATCTGGCTGCAAATTGAGAATGTAGTAAAAATGAGTGGCGGTGAACAAACTAAAGACTCTGTTTGGTAAATGGCTGTTAACTGATAACTATTAGAGGGTATGACTAGTTGATAACATTAGCTGATTGTAGAAAAGTGTTTGGTAAATTAGTTGTTAGCAGATAGCTGTTTGGTATAATTTCTTTTTTCAAAAAGCAAATTAAAAAAGTTGCTTTGAGTAGCATTTTGGAGTTACAAAAAGCTGATTAACCAAACACTAATATTGATTTTTTAACTAAGTGAAACAACTAATAGTGGTCAAATAAGCCAAAATTGGCTGATAAGCTAAATATTTTACCAAACAAGGCCAAAACCTGGAGAAATAAACCACAAGGTCTATTGTTGTTTGCTATGCCTCAATACGCTTCATATCCAGGAGAAAATTCTGCTAAGAGAATAGAAAATTAAGACTATACCTGAATAGCAAGCGCTTTATCAAAGCTTTCAATTGCATTATCAGGCTCTCCGAAATTTAGTTGTGATCTAGCAAGTGTGATCCATGCCTAGATGGAAAAATTAAATCAATGTTGTAAGAAACAATCAACCTGGCTTTCTGTTTTTGTTTTCTTAAGTTGAAGTTTATCTCTTCCAGAATTTATTTAAACTCCCTTGGGTTTTATTTAAGTTGGTATCATCAAGTGTAGAAATGGCAATGCATGAAAATAGTGTGTTCAACATGTTACATCAGCATTTAAATTTGAGTGTGTCTACGACACAGAGCTAGCTGTCCTAAGGTAACCAGTGGATTACATGCAAACTAATTAGAACACCATTGCAATAAGGCAAAACGGTTTTAGTCCATTAGTTATACCTAAATTGTAGACTCAGTCCATGAATTATTATCCAATACAAATTTTCCCCATTAATTATGTTGAAAGTGGCAGTTTCAATCCATTACTTGTAAAATTTGTTAATATTAACAATTTATTTTGAATTTCCAAATTATTGAAGTACGTATTGGTCATTTTGTAAAAAAAATTCAAATTCCCTCCATGAGTCTTCATTTATATGCTATTATTACCGCAAAACCCTTGTTAAATATAAAATACTTGTATATCTTGAGAAAAAATCTGACAGCAAAAATGACAAGCAGGAGATTACTTAAGATTTTTGCAGCTTGGCTCTCCATTTTATTTTGCTAACTGCAATTATATTAGAGAAAAGTTCTTCTAATTTCCTTTTATTTTTATCATAAAATGTAATCATTATTATTATTTCCTTACTAATAAGCTTGTACGTTATTGATGGATCAGAATTCTGAGATAGATTAAAGATGAAGATTCTAAAGGAAAAGACATTGAGTATTTACTACTACATTTTGGAGGTAAATATTTTAAAAAAATATTTTTCACTTACATTTTGAATTTTTAAAAATAGTTATTTTAATATGTTAACTAAATTGCATATATTAACTATTGAGGCATGAACTCGATGAGATATTAAAAAAAAAAACAAAAAAAAAGTAATTTACATACAACAAAAGAAAAATTTGTAATAAACTAATATATTAAACTTACAATTTAGTGTATCTTCAATACTAAGTAATCTCATGTTTGTCATTTTCACTTCTCAAATTCCTCCTCAATCAAGACAAACAAATATTTAGCAAGTGTTTTGCTGTAAGAGTAGCATATATATGAAGATTCATGGAAGGAATTTGAGAAAATTTTACAAAATGATCAATATGACATTAAATAATTTGAAAATTGAAAATAAATTGTTAACGTTAACAAAATGACACTGTCACTTCCAACATTATTAAAGGGGAAAATTGTATAGGATAATAATTCATGGACGGAGTCTACAATTTAGGTATAGCTAACGGACCAAAACCGCCATTTTACCTTGTAATAAACTAATAATGGTAAACTATCAGGAGATAAGTTAGACAATAATATGTTTACCCATGTCAATACTAAATGTCAAGGTGAATGACGTGAATCATGATTTCCAGAAAATATTTTGATACATCACATAGAAGGTTTAAAGCATCTGGTTAGGAAACCTTTTAACAAAAGAAGCATAACAGAATCGACCAATTGCAATTGCAGTTATGGTAGTAACTTTAAAACTCAAGTGGAATGTCATGACCAGCACAAAAGAATAAATATTTTCATAGACAAATGACTGGTGAAACATACAAAGTGGAAAGTGCAGTACGCCAGTACTTATATTATTTGTAGTGCTGTTATGTATTAAAAAAAATATTCTTGAAGACTATATTTTGTAACTTTGTTACCTCAGCCCATTTTGGTTCCAGTTCAGTAGCTCCTGCTCATAACATATATATTAGTTGGAAAAAGAGATTATACATATTTAACAAGAATGGGAAAAATATTTTCATTTCCCCTTACACGTTGTGCATATACACATACGTATTATGCGACATGGTAATGCCACTTTAGTATTTTACACAAAATGAAAGTTGAATGAGTGGCATAAGAATGCAGGGCTATGCCACGTTTGGAACAGAGTACAAGTAAATTATTATGTGTCTCATCTGCACACTGTTTCTTACCAATCTACCATCCATCTGGTCTATTACCATCTCTAATTTTTAATTTCTAACATCATAACCATGGTTACCGCCAACACCAATCTTTCTGCCTGGTCACGCTAACAAGCACTGCAATCAGGATATTCCTCCTTCAATCATCCCAAATTCAAATAAAAAATGGCTTCAACACCAATTTGATTCAATTCATTCAAATTTATTTTCTGTATTGGTGTTGGTTTGTCAATACTACCACTGGGAGATTTTGGAACAAGAAAAGACAATCACAGTGAGAATCTTTTTTTGGGGAAAAGGGGAATGCCTAGGGCTTCTGACCAAAACTTGGGGCTATGATACCACCATGTCAAATAGGAAAGGTTTGTGTGTATTTTTTTTTTTGTCAAGACATGTACAGAAAGTCCTACACACACACAAAACACAAGTTGGGCTGGGTCAACTACTTCTAGGGTTTACAATCAACAAGAATGGAACCATTTTCAACTCTACATTATCTTGATTGTTATTTGCTGTAATGAAAATATTATCCACACAACCAAAAACAGCCTTCCATTGGAAAAAATGACAGATGAAAACTTAGGGTGTGTTTGGTTCGCACAAGGGAATAGGAATCCGAATGGGAATCAAATACTTGGTAATGATAATGAGTTTTGGTGAAAGTATTTTGCATGTTTGGTAGTAGGGTAGAATTGGAATGATTACCAAGTTTGATGTTTGGTTATGTAAGACCCTATAATGGGAATAGAGGTTTTAAAAATATAAAAATAAAAAATTAAGACAATTGATCATAATATAATGACATCCAAAGCACCAATATGAACAAAAAAAAATTCAAAACAAAAATCTAAAAGCACTAATCCAAACTTTAAAATCAGATTACCAATAAGATGGAACGATACGCGTTTTTAATTAGGGAATGAGGTTTTTAATTAAAGAGGTAATCAAATCTCATAGTTGTGTTTTAAAAAGTTGTCAACTAAATACTAACGATGATTTTGATTCTCATTCCCGGTGTGTAAACCCATGAACCAAACAGACCCTTCACCCTTAGTAGTTTATGCCACACTACTGACCAAACTGCACCACAATGTCAACCACCCAACCAAGCTCAAGAAGAGTGTATTGAAGCATAGAAAGATTTAGTATGCACACTTGATCAGACTCACATTGAGGAAATCTTTATGTGAAAAGTCATTCTTGATGTCTAACTAATGTAATGAGTAATGACCAATCAAGTGGCCAAGGAAATCATCACGGAAGCTAATTGGCCGTCGGCAATATTTTTTTTGAGACATTCTCCCTTGTGAGCACTGGGCACAATCACATCAATTCAAGTATAGATTACCTTAGCTGAAAGTCTGAAACTATCCACCAGCCTCCACATAGTAGAACATCAAGAATGTTATACACTTATACCACATGGTGCCCTTGCTAAGAGGCATATTTGGAGCAACCCTAGGTCTGCTGCTTAAGGGGAGTCCAATCTAACCTTTGAAAGGCCTAAAGAAATAGCTGCAAGCTTGGTTTTGATGATTCCATGATGCAATTTTCCCTTCAGTAGCAAGTGGATCATTTGCTTTTCTATTGTCATTCTCGCTATTGATACAGTTAATTACCAGAGATGAAAAATAAGGAATTGCAAAATTGTAGTAGTTTCTTCAGGCTCATTTTCAATCAATATATTGTAGGAAAAGAAGGTGAACATACGTGTTGCGGCTTTCAAAGCATTCCATGCATCTCCAAGTTCAAGCAAAATCTGAGCCTTTTGTTCATGTATAACAGCTCGTTCTGGCATCAATACAAGAGCAGATTCCCACTTCCCTAGTGCCTCACGATATTTCCCATCCTTCCAAAAATGAATAAAGCCACAAGATTAGGAGTAGTCACTACAAGTAGATGCCATTTTAGAAGGTGTGAAAACAAAAAGATAAGAAATCTACTTTAAACATGACTTCCACCAGACCACCACAAATTATTTTGAACAGAAAGTAATTAATAAATTACTAAAATGAAATAGTACAAGATAATCAAACTATGCACAGAAAGATAGTAGTAAAAAACAAGCACCAGATTTGAAAATGACACTATAAGGAATAAAAAAAAAATAGAACACCGCATATCTTAAAAAATGTCTTACAGAACGCTATAAATCTGGCTATGATACATCCAATTCAAAGTCATATATAGGATAAAGTCATTAAAATTTCAGCTTGGAACAAGAAAACACCTGGAAAACAGTTTTATAACCCTCATTATTTTCCTTACCAATTCTTTCATTTAGTTTTCAAACTTTCAGTCCCATCAAATTGTTTAAGAAATAACTTTCATGGAGACACAGACTTGCAAGCTTTTGAATTATATTAAATTGACTAACAAGTCTGTGCTTTAACAAGAAGCATTTAATTTTCCATTCAAGTCAAATAGATATGAAAGGATAGTTTGATAAAAAAATTCCCAGTCTACTAAGTTTGTATCTGGAAGTTGTTGCATGGATTTGCCACACCCCCTATTTTGATCAAGTCCTATGCAAACCTAATTGGATAAATTAGGTGATTGAATTCATCATTGGTCATTCCTTGGATCTGTCATACATTTTCCAATTCGGATTTCTGCATTCTCAGGCAATTATTAACTACTAAGAGCACATTTAGTATCCCATCAGCAAGTGTTGGTGGCTTGGTGCTTGTTTCACAAATAGATGCTCAACATTAGAAACTCTTTACCCCTCACATCTACCTCTACATTTGATTTTGTCGTCATAGCACACTTTGAAGTAAGTCAACAATAAAGCTTAAACAGAAATAAAGAGCTGTCAAGTATAGAATTCAGCTACGGATCACTGCAAAGCTATTCAATGGGCCATAATCGTTAAGAAAATATACAAATCCACTCCACTGGCAATAATTTTAACCAAACGATAAAATAGTAAAACCATACAATTAAGTGAAAAACAACAATGATTAAATTATAATTTTTTGTTTACCTCAGCGAGTTTATTTCCTTGTTGTTGAAAGGAGTCGGCGAGTCTGAGGGTTTCCCCATCACCGTTGAGAATTGGGGCGGGCGTCTTCTCCTGAACGTCGTCGTTAGGAGGCGATTCCTCCTTCGGAAACGAAGAAACTTCGACGCTGAGATTTTCCGAGGCGTCGTCGCTGAAAGGGAGATTGGGGAAGTGAGATATGGGGCGCTTCTTGCTGCTTTCGCTCCTTTTCCATGTCAACTTCATATTTGGTGTCTGATTAGTATAGTGTTTAGTATGTAGTCTGTAGCAGTATTCTGAAGAACAGGGAAGAATAAAAGTGAAGGAGAGATCTCTTATACTCAGCCGCCTACCGACGTAACTGGAAAACTTCTTATCATCTGGAAATCATCTAGGCAACGGCACAACATATTCTTCAATTTCCCAACATATTTGTAGATAATTAAAATTTGAAAACATAAATAACTACATTAATTACACTTAAATTATAGACTCCATTCATGAATTAATATTCAATACAAATATTTTTTTAATTACGTTGAAAGTGGCCGTTTCAATTTATTATGTGTAGATTTTTATCACTAATAATTTATTTTAAATTTCTAAATTATTAAAGATATATTAGTTTAGTTTCCTCAAAAAAGATATATTAATCATTCCGTAAAAATTTCTTAAATTCCTCAATGAACTCTTCATATATAAACCATCATATCTTTTTAATGTTAAAAAATTTAAGTTAATTTCAGCAAATGTCATTTGTCTTTATAACAACTAGTATTTGCGCCCGTGCGATGCACGGAATAGATTTGTTGTAATATATTAAGAATATTTCGATCGATATATAATTATTTAAATTAGAATATCAAATATTATATAGTTCAATTGAATATACGGGTTGGATCATTTATGTGTTTTTATATTATCATTGTATGAATTTAAGTAAATAATTGCTCAAATTAATAGCTAATGTGTAGATGTATGCATGTAGTGTTATAACTTTGGAGATTTTTTTTTTTTTATCATTGTTTAATATTTTTTTTTATAAATTATACAAATATGTTCGTTCTCTAGCAACTCAGTTATATGAATGAATTGTTATCTTAATTCATTTGTATGGAGGATATTTTTTTTTGTCTATACATATAGCAATTGTGTCATTTAAAAAATATAATATCAACGATTTTATTTACACATTGTTGAAACCTCTTTGTAGACGACATTGGTAGTAACAACACAATCTTGTCCATCATCGTCTAGAGCTAACACCTTCAATTGATCAGGATGGGTGACTCGGTGAAAATATATAATGGTATAATATTAGTCAATTAGCGATCCTTTTATATTTTAAATAAATTAGTAATATCATATTCATTTTCAGTCAATTATTCTTTTGTATTTTTAGTCAATTAGAATATTACATGGAGTGATATTTTTACCTAATTTGTGTTCCATTTTTAATTGAGGATGTATAATATTATTATTGAAATATTTCTGTTCCATTTGTAATTTACTTTTACTATTGTTTAAAATATGCACTTACTATTTATGATGTAGAATATTATTATTGAAATATTGGCGTTCAATTTTAGTTTCCCTTCCATTTTAATTAAAATGCAATGATCTAACCATTTATTTTTTTCATATTAGTCAATTATGAATAATTTTGTATTTGCAGTCAATTATTAATATTCATTTCCTTTTAAATTTTCAATCCATTAGTAATATCATATTTATTTTCATCCAATTACTTCTCTTTTATTTTTAGTCAATTAATCAATTAGCGAACTAAAATATCAAATGCAATGATATTTTTACCAAATTTTCGTTTCATTTTTAATTGATGATTTAGAATATTATTATTGAAATATTTCCATTTCATTTTTAATTTTCGCTACATTTTTAATTTACCTTTACTATTGTTTAAAATATGTCTTTAGTATTGATGATGTAGAATATTATTATTGAAGTATTTCCTTTTCATTTTTAATTTACCTTTATTTGATAGTGTAGAATATTATTATTGAAATATTCCCATTCTATTGTTTAAAATTGTGTAAAATTTATGACATACTTGTGATTTGATGTATTATACTGTGTAATATTATTGTGAAAAATTAAAATGCAATGATCTGGCCATTTTTTTTTTTCTGTTTTAGTCAATTATGAATATTTTCTTATTTTCAAACAATTGTTAATATTTATTTCCTTTTTCAATTAACCTAATGTTTGTTGCCAAGTACCTTGTGCTCAGATGGCATGTAGTGACCTCTCTTATGTGGGAAGTCATGAGATTGAGCCTTAGTGAAGGTGTTGGTTGAGAAAATATGTTTGAATAGATACTTATTTATTTACCTAATTTTCATTCCATTTTTAATTGATAATATAGAATATTATTGTGAAATATTTTTGTTCTCTTTTTTTCATCTTTTTTTTTTTAAAATTTACCTTTACTATTTACTATTGTTTGGGCGATAAATCAAGTAAATAGAATTTTGTTTTTAATTATATTATAGATTTTTTTTTCTTTTTCTATTGTTTGGGTGTGAAAGTAAGGAAGAAGAATTATCTTTTTAATAATGGTATAGATTTGAGAATTTTTTTATATTTTCCTATTTAACTGAGTATTATTAGTATTAATCAGTGACTTTCGTTTCTTTTTCTATTTTTAGTGAATTAAGGATCCTTTTATATTTTTCTATTTTAATGCTAACTTTTAATTTTACTGATTATTATTAGTATTAATTATTCAGTGAATTCCATTTCATTTTCTATTTTTCGTAAATTATGAATCTTTTTTTTTTTCAATTTTTTTTGTAGGATTGTTTTTACTGTTATTTTTATTATGACCCCTTTTAAAAAAAAAATCTGTCATTTTCATTGAATTAAGAATCCTTTTCTATTTTCAATATTACTGATTATTATTAGTATTAATCAGTAAATTTTGTTTATTTTTCCATTTTTAGTGAAGTAATGATCTTTTTTTTCTTCATATTTTACTGCTAATTTTCTGACTGATTATTATTACTATTAATTAATCAGTGAATTCCATTTCCTTTTCTATTTCTCGTGAATTAAGAAACTTTTTTTATTATTCTAATTTTTAGTAGAATTTTCTTTTTTTTTTACTGTTATCCATGACCTTTTTTTTTCACACCCTTACGTTTCTTTTTTTCATTTTTATTAAATTAAGACTCATTTTTTATTTTCCTATTTTACCAATTATTATTAGTCATAATTAGTAAATTCCGTTTATATTTTCATTTTTAGTGAATTAAGGATCTTTTTTTACTGATTATTGTTAGTTTTAATTAATTAATGAATCCCGTTTCCTTTTCTATTTTTTGTGAATTAAGGATCTTTTTTTCTATTTTACTACTAACTTTTTTACTAATTATTAATTGGTAATTTTTTTTTTTATTGTTTGGGCGGGTAAGTAAGAAATGGGCGTTTTGTTTTTAAGAATAATATAGAATTTTAGTGAGTTAAGGATCCTTTTTATAGAATTCTCTTTCAATATTTAAATACATTAGCATAGTAATTACACGAAAAAAGGAAAGAAAAATTATTAGAATAATAGTATTTTCATCCGTTCGATGCACAGAATGGATTTGTTGTAATATATTAAGAATATTTGGATCAATATATAATTATTTAAATTATAGCAGCAAATATTATATAGTGCAATTGAACATATGGTTTGGATTATTTATGTGTTTTGATGTTATCATTGCTTAAATTTGAGCAAATGATTGCTCAAATTAATAGCTAATGTGTAGATGTACGCATGCGGTGCTGTAATTTTGGATATTTTATTTATCATTGTTTAGTATTTTTTTTTTATTTTATAAATTAGTCAAATGTGCTCATTCTCAAGCAACTCAGTTATAGGAATGAATTACTATCTTAATTCATTTGTATGGAAGATATATATTTTTTTGTCTAGATATATAGCAAATTTGTCATTTAAAAAAAATGTCAACGATTGTATGTACACATTATTGAAACATCTTTCGACATTGGTAGTAGCAACACAATCTTGTCCATCATCGTCTATAGCTAACACCTTCAGTCCATCATGATGGGTGACTCGAGTGAAAATATATAATGGTAGAATATTAGTCAATTAGGGATTTTTTAATATTTTAAGTCAGTTTGTAATATCATATTCATTTTCAGCCAATTATTTTTTTTATTTTTAATCAATTAGTCAATTAGAATGTCATATGCAATGAGATTTTTATCTAATTTTCGTTCGAGTTTTAATTGATTATGTATAATATTATTATTGAAATATTTCCGTTGCATTTTTAATTTTTTATTATTGTTTAAAATATGCCTTGACGGTAATAATGTTACCAGAAATATAATATAAGAGTAACGAATAAGAGAGTAACAATAGTTGCATTGCCTTTGTCTCAGTATAGAAAGTACAGTGTCCTGCTCAGCTGAGGGAAGTTCTATTTATGCTAGGTCCTAACGGTAACAACATGAAGAGACATCCTTGGGGAGCTGAGCTAACGGCAGGAATATGAAGAGTCATGAATGAGGCGTTGAGGCTTTAACTCTCTCTCATCAATGGTGGCATCAATGGTGGCTTCAATGACATTAGATGTGACACCTGTTGGAATTCTAACCGTTGGAGCATCCATGCGGTGTCGGGTCAACTATGGTGCCGGGTCAGATGCACACTTATGATCCGGGTCGGGTGCTAGCCCTATTATCCTGTCACCAGTCCCCCCTACTCCTGAGTCTACGAATGTGTTTGAGTTGACTTGGGAGTAAGGCTGAATCAATCGTGATACTGTGCCATCCTGATTGAGTTAGGATATGCGATTTTGTTTTCCAGATCCCTTCCTGCCTAAGCAATTTGAGCACCTTTCTATCAACTCTTGTCACCATCCGTCGGTTTCTGCGGTTTAACATTACCTTTTTTTTTTTTTTTTTTTGCGGCGTGGGCCGGCTTTGGGTTGGGGCGCCGCCTCAGCCAGGCTGAGGCGGGTGCCTCGCCTTGTGGCCGAGGCACTACGCTTCGGCCACGGCCGGGTGGCTGAGGCGTCGCCTCAGCCACTTGGCCGAGCCGGGCGCCCCGGCCATGTGGATGAGGCGTTGCCTCGAGCCGTGCACCTCGACCCCTTTTTTATTTTATTATTTTTTTTTTTTGAGTGGCCGAGGCGTGCGCCTCGGCCTTGGGCTGAGGCGCGGCCTCGGCCATCTGGCCGAGGCGTGCACCTCGGCCTTGGGCTGAGGCACGGCCTCGGCCATCTGGCCGAGGTGTGAGCCCCGGCCATGTGGCTGAGGCGTCGCCTCGGCCACTTGGCTGAGGCGTGCGCCTCAATCCTTCTTTCTTTTTTTTTTTTTTTTTTTTTTTTTTTTTGAGTGGCCGAGGCGTGCGCCTCGGCCTTGGGCTGAGGCGTGCACCTCGGC